GGGGTAAAATTGGGAGTTCATAACCCACTTCAATCTAATGTATGAAATATGTCAAGAGCTTTGTAATGTTGTGAACAACCAATAAAAAAAAAAAAAGAAAAGAAAAAAACATGCATTAGCCAGGCAATTTCTGAAGAGGAAAGCTAAGAGCCGTCTCCAAATAAATAAATTTAGAAAGCAACAGAAAAGATACAAAACAGAAAAAGAGACTATCCCTTTCATGAAACCACAAAGTTAAGTGATAAAAGATGTTGTCTCAACATTTAGCTCAGTGATCACTTCCTCAATAGGCTCTCAATCATAATAGAGATTTAAAATAAGGGAAAAAATGTGGCTTCTAGAAACTATCAACATTATCACTAAATTTGTTCTTATATACAATTTGCAAATGGTTAAAAAATTGGTCTGGCAAATTAGGATTCTATGATACAAAAGAAAAAATGTTCAGTTCAATATCTGCTAACTTGGATTCCCAAAAAGCAGTAAATTTAAAAAAAAAAAAAAAAAGGCTTTTTCTTTTGCTACCAAATCTATTTGAAATTTTCTTTGCAATACTTTTAAATAAAACTGGAGAACTGGAAGAAAATATGTCTTCAGGGTGATTACAATTAAGCCTTAAAGACAGAAGGAGCAAAGCCACAAAGAACTTTCATAACAGGAGGCCTTCTCATGTCACCAGCAACAGTCCTTACAAATAGGTCATATTTGTATGTAATAAAACTGACACTTTTAATTTCTTAAAAATCTCATCTTCAAGGAGCCAGGCACAATGGCGCATGCCTGTAATCCCAGCAGCTGGGGAGGCTGAGGCAGGAGCATCGTGAGTTCAAAGCCAGCCGAGGCACTAAGCAACTCAATGGGACCCTGTCTCATAAAATACAAAAATAGGGCTGGGGATGGGGCTCAGCGGTTGAGTGCCCCTGAGTTCAATCCCTGGTACACCCTCACCTCTAAAAAATTTCATCTTCAGAGCTGGGGTTGTAGCTCAGCAAGAGAGCTTGCCTAGCACGCAAGGGCCCTGGATTCAACAGCAACACCACAAAACAAGAAAAAAAAAATCATCTTTGGTTGACCTCTCAGTTTTTTCTCATTCCAAGCCAAAGAATGACTATGAAAGGCCATCCTTCATGTTACTATGTAAAATCATTAGAAGAGTCAGGTAGATCAGAAAATGTAAGCATTTTGACAAAAAAAATGGATACGTGATGATACTGCAGGGTTATCAGGGCCATGACTGGCAACTAGTGAGAATCATGATGATTTTCATCAATTAGCACATCTATTTTCTCCTCTTAACAAAATAACTGCACAAATGGTTCAATGTTTGTTCTTCCTATTACTGTTACTCTCTTATTTACCTCCTTTCCCATTGCCTATATCATAATTTCTGTTAGACACTCAGGGCTAAAGTTAAAATTAAACAATTTCATTCCCTTACCACTGTTTAATCTGTTTGCTTCTTTTTTTTTCTTTTTTTTTTTTTTCTCTTTTGTACTGGAGACTGAACCCAGAGACCTTTTACCACTGAGCTACACCTGCACCCCTTATTTTTCACTTTGAGATAGAATCTCTAAGTGGCCAAGGTTGGCCTCAAACTTACAATCCTCTTGCCTCAGGCTCCCCAACAGCTTGGATTACAGGCATGCACCACTACATCTGGCTTGCCCAACATTTTTTTTTAATATTTATTTACATGTAGATGAACACATAGTATCTTTATGTATTTTTATGTGGCACTGAGAATTGAACCCAGTGCCTCACACATGTGAGGCAAGCACTTTACCACTGAGCTACAATCTCAGCCCCTTGTCCACCATTTTTAGCTCATATGTTGGAGTAAATCTGTTTCTACTACTTTAATCCATTTTTTTCCATTATTCCAAATGTGAAACTATAAAAACTAATAAATTGAGCAACAAATACAACACTATGGTAAATGATATTTGAATATTTACTATATTTGCAGAATTGGAAACTTGGGACTTAATGGGTTTAGACTGCAAATCTTGGGGCTGGGAGTGTAACTCAGTGATAGAGTTAGCATGCACAAGGCTCTGGGTTCAATCTCTAGCACTGTAAGAAAAAAGAAAAAAATCTCAACCTAAGACTGCAAAATCTGTATGACTCATTGGCTTTGTTGCTTAACAGAACAGTCACTAACTACATATACACACTTTAAATGCATCAAAATTAAATGAAATTTAAAATGCAGTTCCTCAGTTACACTAGCCACATTTTCAAGTGCTCAAAAGGCAAGTCACATGGCTAAATACTGGACAGTTTGGACAAAGAACACTTCTATCACTGCAGAAAGTTCTATTGGGCAGTGCTCTCCACAGCCTCTAATCTAATCTATGAATCTAAAAAACTGGCATTAACTTTTGTAGTTTATATTGACTATTCTTTCTTTGCTGCAGGAAAAGACATTTAGTTCATTTAAAACATGAATAAAAACATAGGTAAAGAATTAAAATAACAATAGATTAAAATTCCCAGAATTGTCTGGGCACAGTGTAATCCCAGCGGCTTGGTAGGCTGAGGCAGGAAGATCACAAATTCAAAGACAGCCTCAGCAACTTAGCAAGGCACTAAGCAACTTAGTGAGACCTTGTCTCTAAATAAAATATTTTAAAAAGCTGGGAATGTAGTTCAGCACTCCTGGCTTCAATCCCAAGTACCAAAAAGAAAAGGAAAAAAAGAAAAAAAGAAAATTCCCAGAATCAATCCTTCATATCAAAAAAAATGAAAGCAAATATAAAATAAAGAAGAGATTATTATTAACAACATAGGTTATTTACTTCATAAGAATTTACACAATCATTTTAGTTAAGTTTGATTTTTACCTTACTTTTTTTTGAGGCAACTTATGACAACTAAATCTTTTCCAAAATATTTTGAGGCAAAGAATTATAAATGCAAAGACATAAGTTAGATAATACTCCTTGAGTGTCCATCTTTCTTATTTACCTTTTTTAAGAAAAAAACTCACCGCTCTCATCCCCAGATCCAAATATTTCATGTTCCCTAGTAATTACACAGATAAAACACAACATACCTCACTAAATCTGGTGATCGAATTATCCCTTCCACAATGTTATCACGTATTTGCTGGCGGTCATTTTCATGAATATTGAAGGGAAATATTGCTTCTCCTGGTGGAGGTTCTCGATCTGGCCAATACTGGGTCACCATGTTCTTTAGGTAGATGGCAGCTGTGTTTGGGAAAATAATGTTAATGTGTTAGTATCAAAAGAAATGCTTCAATTCAGCTGAATAGGGCATGAAAGGCTAAGCCTTTCAGTGCCGAACGTGACACCCAGCAGAAAAGGCAAATCTTGCAGGAATAAAGCCAAGTTAGGAAGGGGAAATGGGTAAGAATTTAAAGGTTTCACTTTAGGTAGTCAAAGCAGAAAATATTTTGCCAAATCAAACTCCAGAGCTTAAAAGCCAGAAAAAAAATGATCTAGGAATCGTGTGTGTGTGTGTGTGTGTGTGTGTGTGTGTGTGTGTATCTCCTTAGACAAAACACAAAGTGGTCTAAATGAGTCCATACAAAACACACACTAACATCACAAAAATCACACTTTTCATAATGCCTAATACTGAACTGACAACAGGTAAAGCTCTGCTTTCCTTTACACAGACTGGTATTTCCGTTTATTTTCTTTCACTGGCTACTATCTGGTACTACCATCTTAGAATATTTATGCTTTTTAAAGCACTGGTAATTTTTATTTAACCCTTTTGAGATATTTATTACTTATAACTAATAGGGAAATTGGGCATCATTTCTATCCTTCAAATATTTTTGGAAAATCTCAGAAAAGAAATAAACAGAAGAAAAATTTCCTATTAATTTCTATCAATTATTTTGTTCCCACTCTTTTTTTTTTTATAAGAGATGTCTTATACTGGAGTATAACTTCCTATTRTTGTGGTTTACATGATGTAGACTACACTGGTCATGTATTCRTATATGAATACATATATTCTTTCCCATTCCCATCCCCCTTCCTTTGTCACCATTCCAATCCAGTGAACCTCCACTCCCTTCAACTCCATTGGGAGTCAGCATCCACATATCAAAGAGAACATCTGGCCTTTGTTTTTTTAGGATTGGTTTATTTCACTTAGCTTGAGAGTCTCCAGTTCCAACCAATTACCAGCAAATGCCATGATTTCATTCTTCTTTATGACTAAGTAATAGTCCATTGTGTATATGTACCACTTGTTCCTATTCTTTTTAACAACCCTCAACTTTTAACAGTAAGCTTTTCAAAGAAGATGAAATACTATTAAGGGATTTTAAGAGAAAATGTTAAGTTTTCCAACTGTTCCAATTGAACGCTGAATGAAGGAAAAATACTAAAGATATGAATATTAACAATCTTAAAACCTCCCTTTAATCATTTAAGTATTTAATAGTTAATTGGTCAGAGCTCAGAAATAAAACACTAATATCATCTTAATCTAATTCATAGTGTTATACTTCATTTTCTCACCAAATCCATTTACTATTTATGTATCTTAAGTTTAAAATTATTTTTTGTTGGAACATAATATTTGAATGATTGTGATAATTCAACTCACATATTATATACATGTACACAATCTTTAATAATCCAATCGTGGTTTCTTTGGTTTTTGAGCTAAATCCCTAGTCCCCAATAATTGATTTCATTTCATGATCTATCTCCTCTACTCCACTGAACTTCCTATCACTCATCTATTCATATTTCACTGGTCCTTTTTACTTATAAATATGAAATTCCCTGTGGTATATTTAGATAGGTACATGAAATGATTTTCTTAAAATCATTTTTCATTGCCTCCGATTATTCATCCTCTCACTCTGTAGATCTCCTTCTACATTACTAATCTTTGCATTGTCTTTATGTTATTCTATCACTCTCGCCCTCTTCCTTTATTTTACTCTAATTTCTGCATATGAAAGAAAACATTTGATCTTTGTGATTCTCAGTTTGGCTTATTTCACTTAGCATGATATTGTCCATTTCCACAAGTTTACCAGCAAATGCCATAATTTCATTCTGTATTGTTGCTGAGAAGAACTCTAATCTATCTATCTAATCTATCAATCTATATCTATTATCTATCTATATACCTATCTATCTATATATATATACATATATATACATCTAGATATATATATGTCTATTATCTATCTATATCTATATATCTATCTAATCTATCAATCTATCTATGTCTATTATCTATCTATATACCTATATTAACCCATTTATTTATAGGCACCTGGGTTGATTCCATAGTTTACTATTTTTAATTTTGCTGCTATAAACACTGAAGTAATGTTTTAATCATAATTTTTTAATGGACACAACACAATGCCTTTATTTTTATGTGGTGCTGAGGATCGAACCCAGGTCCCACCCATGGTAGGCGAGCRCTCTACCGCTGAACCACAATCCCAGCCACTTAATCATAATGTTTTAATAAGTATTTCCATCTCTTCAAACATTCACTTTTACATGCTGGGAATTTTGTATTATTCTAATCATTTTGAAATATGTCAGATTGTTTTGATCTATCATTACCTTATTGTGCTAAAGAAGAACCAGAAGTAATTCCTCTACTCTGTTTTGGAGCCCCTTAATGAAATTCCTTCTAACCCCCCTTCACCCTAACTTTTCAAAAGTCTAATGACCACTATTCCATTCTCTTCTTCTACAAAACTGACTTATTAGCTACCACAAATGAGTGAGAACATATGCTATGTGACCTTCTGTGTTTGCCTAATTTCACTTAGCATAATGACCCCCAGTTTTGTTCATGTTGCTACAAATGACAGAATTTCATTCTTTTTAGGGAAGAATAATATTTCATTTGGGGGGATCTTTATCCACTCATCCACTGAAGGGCATCTAAGTTGATTTCATATTTTAGCTGTTATGAAAAGTACTGAAATAAACAGGAGAATACAAATGTTTCTGGAATAAGAATTTTATCACCTTTGGACATATACCCAGAAGCACAGTGCTGGATCATATGGAGTTCTATTTTTAGTTTTCTGAGGAATTTCCATACTGTTTTCCATAGTGATTATACTAAATTTACATTCCCACCAAAAGTGTGTAAGAACTCCCTTTTAGAGAAAAGGAAGCATTTGCTTTTTTAGTTATTCTTTGTTTGCAATACTGTGGATCAATCCCACAAGGCCTCACATAGGCTAGGTAAGGGCTCTACCACTGAACTATGTCCCCAGCCCATTTTGTGTTTTTTTGATGATAACCATTCTAACTGGGGTGAAATAATATCTAATTGTGGCTTTCAGTTGCCTGCCTCTCTCCTTCACAAGCACAATGTATCATCACTTAAACTTCACTCTCTACTCAGAAACACAACTACAGAAATAAATTGGGCTCCACAACCTCAAAGGATCAAGATAGTGCTGTTATAAACTCAGTGAGGCAGAATGCCATGCTTTTTAGGTGATCTTTCAAAGCCTTTGCATTCTTCATCATAATTTGGTAGCCCTTCTCTCCATTGCTATTACTTCAATCTGTTAAAGGCTAGGAGATCTGATAACAAATGTATAAGCTATAAATAAAATTAAATAGATTTTTAGTAAGAGCAGAGAAGCATCCCACAAATAAAATAGTTTTAAGAAAAGAGCTTTTTGAAATGCTTCTGAAAAGATAAACATTATCTTTCTGTTTATCACTAGCTTCTTCATTTTATAATGCTGAAGTTAGTCTTAACAAACAAATTACACATAAAAAACTGTAAATTGTAATATCATCACCCCATCCCTTTGACATACAAAAAGGAAAACAACCTAGAAGAATGAAAACCAGGCAGGTGGGGGAGGGGGGTCCTGTTAAGCTTTTTTCTGTCTTTTCAATTGATTGGTCCTACATCATTCACTGCAGATGACTTCTTCAGGTCCAATATAATATTCTTCTCAACCTCCACTTTTAAATACAAACTACTCTTCTCACAGCAACTGCAAAATGCATTAAAGAAAACTACATTCTGAAGCCAAGTTTACATTTACTAGAGGAACTTTACTAAAGGGTCTCTTTCTCTTCAGAGACAAGGAGTTGAACACTTAAAAACAAAAGTGACTTGAAAGATTCCAAACTACAACTTCAATATCCTATATTTAAAACAGGCTTCCTCCCAGGCAAGGTGGTGCACTCCTGTAATCCCAGCAGCTTGAGAGGCTGAGGCAGGAGGATTGAGAGATGAAAGCCAGCCTCAGCAACTCAGTGAGACCCTGTCTCTAAATACAAAAAAAGGGATAGGGAAGTGGCTCAGGGGTCGAATGCTCCAGTACCAAAAAAAAAAAAGGCTTCCTTCTCTGCATATTACCTGGTTATAATATTATTATGCTTATCAATACTTTGAAAGGAAAGCAATAGAGCAAACCTCCAAATTTATTTTTACATGGCAATATTAAAATATTAATTTTTTTTCCTATTTCTTTAAAATTCACAGTAAGCTAAAAGCAAACATTTACTACTAAGTTTACTTAATAATAGAAAGAATATTTTAGAATTGTCTACCAAAAAGATGAAAATTTAAAAAAAAAAATTTCCCAGGTACCTGGGGTTGTGGCTCAGTGCTAAAGTGCTCGCCTAGCATGCACAAGGCACTGGGTTCGATCCTCAGCACCTCATAAATGTAAAATAAAGATGTTGTATCCACCTAAAACTTAAAAATAAATATTTTTTAAAAAATTTTCCAGCACTAAGAAAGAAAACACTAACATCTTAATCCAATTCATAAGGAAATAAATTTGTTTTCCTACAAAAATAGGGCTATGTAGAGCTATATCTTTCCACTTAATTTTTCTTTTTTTGGTTGGTTTGTTGTTTGCTTTTTGTTTGTTTATTTTAACAGTTTATATAGGCTGATCTTTCTTTAAAACAAAGACCACATCATTCTATTTTTAATATCATGATGAAATGACAGGCTAACTAGATGTCACCTTAAAGTGATAAAGCATCCTTGTATTTTAATAATAGACTAAATAGAAAAGAATATTTATAAACTATTCTTTAGGATAGCTGTAAAATGTTATACAATATATTTCAAACTCGATGGCAAAAATGGATGCTTTAAGATTGAAAGTTTGTTCAAATACATTAGGAAATAATCAATCACCAAGCCAAACTGTCCTGCAGCTAAAAGATTTAAAATTCACATACATTATAAAGAAAACAAGCAC